CCCCGCCCCGTGTTCCCAAGCTGCTTCCCGGCACACCCTCCCCTGCTTCACCGTCAGAACTAAGCGCCAGGCGCACGTAGACCAGGTGCATAGGGCCCTGACACACGGTGCGGCCCTGGATGGAGAAGTGGTATGTGCCACGCGTGTGGTTCAGCACCAGGCGGCGCCGCGGCAAAGACGAAATCATGAGCCACAGGCCAACGCCCACGCCGCACGCCGGGAAGCCCCACGTCTCCTGCTTCAGCACCTGCGGGAGCCACGGGGACCTGAGCCGCCAAGGGCGTGGGGGCGGGGCACCGAGAGGGGGGTCCAGCCCCAGGAGGCCGGCCGTGGGGGGCGGGCCGCGGAGCGCAGACCTGGCTCACAAGGCCGAAGCTGACGAGGAAGAGGCAGACGACGAAGAGCAGCGCCCCCTTCCACAGTGTGTCCAGGTAGTACTCGAGCACGAAGACTGCGGGCAGCGCGGCGGCGGCGCGTGAGGACAGCTGGCCCCCGCTCGCACCCCGGGGTGGCGGGGCCAGTGCCCGGCACGCCGCACGCACACGCACGCAGCGCTGGGGCACCGTCGGCGGCCCGCCCCGGGCCTGGCCCCGCCCCCACTCAAATCAGGCCCCAGGTCAGGCCCCGGCCCCACCCAAGCAGGATTTTACCCGGGGGGGAGGGCAGGGGGGTCAGACAGTGGGCCCCCGCCCCGCCCCCGCCGCGTGCTGGTTCCGGGTCCACGCGCACCATTGGGCTGCTGTTGTGTGAACGGGTAGAAGCTGTTGTTCTTCAGGCGCTTGGCCAGGTGGCGCTCGGTGCAGAAGAGTCCGAGGGCCCAGAGCTGGAAGCACTTGCCGCCGGAGGTCGTGGGCAGGCCGCTAATGTGGCCCTTGGGGGCCTGGGTTAGGCACAGAGGGTCAGCTGGGCTGCTGGAAGGTTGCCACCGCCCAGGGCTCGCCGTCGCACTGGTACCTGGGGGAAGAAAGCCTCCAGGGCTGCGGTCCAGGAAGGAGCGGCCTTCAAACAAAGGGCGGAGGAGGGACACCAGGTGGTGGTCCAGGCTGGGCGAGGCCTGGGTTCTAGAAGTTCTGGGCAGCGGGTTCTAGAAGGGGCTGTTGTGTTGACTACTCCTTCTGCGGGGACTCCCCAGGCCTGGCCCTGAAGTGAGCACGCACTTCCCTGTGAGTCCCCACACCACCAGAGGCCCCCTGCACAGCCTGGTTCACAGTCCTCACGGGAAGGGAGGATGGCAAGACATCCCAGGCCTGAGCTGGAGACAAGTCTGCGGGCAGGCTCCCCACACTTAACCCCATGGCTGAGCAGGCCTCCCCCGCCCCATCACTACTTCTGCCCGGGCAGAGCTTCAAACACAACCACAGACAGCTCACTCCAGTGTCCCTGAGGGCAGGATACACACACTCAGTCCAGGATTCACGCCTAGCAGTTAGTGAGCAAGGCATGACCACAGGCAGCCTCAGGAACCCTGGAAGGCCACCCCCCCACCCCACCCCACCCCACCAGCTCTCGGCCAGTTCTAGCCTTGAGTGGTTCCCTCAGGTACAACACCTGTCCTCTCATCCCCGCCTAAAGGACCACACAGAGTTCCTAAAAATGTTTTATTGTAACAAAATGCTCAAACATCCAAAATGCGAAAAGGGTGGAGGGCGCCGCTGGCTACCTGAGGGTCAGGGGTCTGGGACTGCCTAGCTGGAGGAGGGCAGGCTGGTGAGCAGCTGCTCCAGGCACCACTGGACTTCCTCCTGGCCTCGGTAGGCCCGCTTCAGGCCCCGAGGAAGGCAGCGGCAGGACTCCAGGTTGAGGTAGAGCAGGCCTGTGCAGCTGCTGATCACAGAGCTGTAGGGGCAGGGCAGGCCATGGGGACTCGAGCCCCTGGCTCCCAGAAGACCCCGGCCCTGGCAGGGCTAGGCCAGTGTAAGGAGCCCTCTCTGCCCAGGTGCCACGGCTGGCTCTGCCACCCACAGCCACCGAGGCCCAAGCCCAGTACCCGTGGTGTCCCTAAGGGCCATCCTAAGCAGGGGCTTGGCCAATACGTGCTCCCCTTTTGGACACCCGAAGCCTGCAAGCCAGGCTTGTCGGGGAGGCAAGCCGTACCGACTCCAAGGGACTGGGGAAGGGGATGCTGACCTGACCGTGCTTGGTGTGACCCGGGTGCCCCTGAGGTTGACAGAGCACAAGGCTGGGGGTGAGCCCCCAGGGGTGGCTGAGAAGGTAGCTAAGGCCTGCTCCAAGTCCTTCTCGCTGAAGCCCTGGCCACTCAAGTCCAGCTCCCGCAGAGTGTGGCACCACTTCTGGGTCAACAGGTGGCTGCCCTCTTTGGCTAGAGTCAGCCGGTCGGACGTGCCATAAAGACCCAAGTGAAGCTGCTCTAGCTCTGGAAGCGAAGAGTGGTCATGAGCTGTGGGGCGGGCAGGAGGTACCCACATCCCTCCCACCCAGCCACCAGCCAGAGAAAGCTGACCCTGACACGGCAGATCATGCAGGCCAGCAGGTGTGATGCGGGCACAGCCACGAAGATCCAGCAGGCGCAGATGAGGGGAGCCGTGGAGCAGGCGGCCCAGGGCCTCATTGCTGACAAAGTTGCAGGTGCAGCCAGCAAGGCAGAGCTCCTCAAGGCTGGGGAAGCCTGGGCCAGGAGTCACCACTCGCCCGGGAGGCTTGGGCAGCCACATCAGGTTCAGCAGCCGCAGCACCTGGAGCAAGGCCCAGGCTGCAGATGGGGAGGGAGGGTGGCAGGTGGAAGAGGAGGGGTGGCAGGTACCTGCAGCTGGGGGCAGCCCTTCTGCAGAGCCTCAACAGGCAGCTGGAGAGGAGTGCTGTTGCGATTGATGCCGGTGCTCACCTCCAGGACCTGGAGCTGGGGGCAACAACTGCCCTGCAGAGGTGGAAGAGAACACAGGCTCAGTGGCCTGGCAGCCCCTGGCTCAGCATCCGTCTCTGCTTCTGCCTGTCACCAACCTACCAGCAGCGCACCCAAAATGGCTGTTGTCTGGGAGCTGTAGGTCAGCCACAGTTTGCGCATTCGGGGCCCTGCCTCCTCCAAGAAGTTCACCACGGCTGTGGACTCCACCTGGGAACCCAGCACATGGGTACCGGTCACTCCGGCCCAGGCTTCTTCAGGACCCCTGGGGACACAGGGCTCACCATGGAGTGCTGTATATCCAGGCTGTGGAGCTGGGGGCAGGCTTTGGCTAGCATGACCAGAGTGTCAGGGGTCACACCATGGCAATCAGAAAGCTTGAGGAAGGTGAGTCGAGGACAGGACTCGCTGACCAGCTGTGGAAGACAGAGCACCAGCAGAGATTGGGTCTCTGTGGTCGGCAAAGGAAAGAAACCAGTGGCTGACACCGAACCCTCTCCTCTGCCTCAGCTAGAGCCTCCTTTCTGCCCCTGGCAGCCAACACGGGAGCTCCACTTCTGACACCTCCCTGCTGAAAGAAACAACAGGAAAGGAGAACCAGGCAGGCATCCCCATGGGGCAACACTGGGCTCCAGGTGCCTGACCCACTCCCTGGAAGTACCGGGCAACCCCACGTGTTGCCGCTGGTGTGCAGGGCAGCCTAGAGCTCTCACCTTCAACACGGGGTGTACCTGGGACTTCCAGTGGATGAGGGTCAGCCTCTGGAGCTGGGAGAACCTGGGCCGACAGCAGAGGGAGAGCTGCATAGTGTTCCCTCGCTGCCCCTCTGTCAGCGTCTCCCCCACCCATCACTTCGGTATAGGGAGACAGAAATGGGCCTGTGGCTTTCCACAAGCCACAGAAATGAAGTGAGGGGATAGAGAAAAGAGGGAATGTCTCACCGATTGGGCATAAGCCACTCCAGAGAGGCGAGAACCTTCTTCTCGGCCTTGGCTCCGCTCTTGGCGAGGCGGCCAGCCAGCGGGGGCGACAGGGTCACGGTGTGCCAGAGCGCGGGCTGGGAGGAGGCCTCGTGCCAGCGGCGGCACACGCGTGCAGCCCTGGGAGAAAAATCTCTGCTGAGGGGCCGGGCCTTCCGTGGCCGCTGCTGCGGGTTTTCCTAAGAGAGACCTGTCCCCTTTGTTCTCACAACGCTGCGGCCACCTTAGCTCAAAGACAGGCCCTGGGGGCTCTAACTGGACCCCTGAGAGACTGCGCTCTCTCGGCTACGCCCTCTGCCCCCGCCTCAGCCACCCGCTCGGTGGGCAAGAGGGCAGCCTGAGCCATGCTGCTGCGCTCGGTGGGCCTGGGGTACCTGCCGAGGAAAGGCATGGGCCCATCGGCCGCCACCAGCAGCCCGAAAATCTGCACCAGGATTTCCAGGGGGATGCGGTCGCCCCAGCCCGGGTCGGGCCCCTGCTGCGGCTCCGGAGCGGGCGCAGCTCTAGGCCTGGCCTTGGCGGCCGAGGCGCGGGACGCGGGGGGCAGCAGCCGCTGAGTGCGGCGGGCGGCACGCCTCTGCACGCGAGTGCGGGCAGGCCCCGGGCCCGGCAGCACCAGCAGCATGCTGTCCGACTGCAGCAGGTGGTACCCGGAGCCGCTCGGCGCCAGCTGGTCCCACCACCAGTCCTCGGCCGAGCGAGCCCGCGCCCCGGCCGGCAGCGCGCCCCGGACCCTGCGTCGGGCCCGCCGCGCCGCCCCGGGAGCCATAGCTCCCAACTGAACTCCACGGCCGCGGCGTAGCGGAAGAGGCGAAGCCGCCGGGCGGAGGCGGGACCTGAGCCCCGGGCCGACCCCCTGCGCGCAGGTTCAGCGCCCGACTTCCGGGGCGGGACTTCCGGCGATGGGCCATGCCGGGGGCTGGCCGTCCTGCGGCTTCCTCCAGTACGTGAGAGCTGGAGTTCTCCCCCGGGCGGAGCCGCGTTTCCCAGCCTCACCGGCTCTGGGCTGAAGCCGCGCTCGTGCGCGGGAGGCGGCGCCCTTGCAGGGTGGCGAGACGACTGGCTGTCGGGCGGCGAGCGCGCAGGTGCAGGATCAGGAGGCGCAGGTCCCCCAGCGCACCGGGCAGCCCTTCGCCGACCACCCGACGCAGCGAGGGGCGGCGCCGGGCCCATCCCTCCCCCCGGAGTCCGACTTCACTCCTGCTGTCCTGGGTCTCGCTGAAGCCTCGGACTCCCACTGGGAAGCAGAAGCAGCAGAGGTGTGCGAGGCGCCGTAGGGGTGCCCCTGTCCCGGAGTCCGTGTCCCTTTTGGGGAGAGGGTGGTGGTGATCGCAGCAACTCAGACCCGAAGATGGAGTCCCTCTTTCCTCATTTCCCTCTGGGGTCGGGGCTCCTTGGGCCCGGCTTCCTGCTTCTCTGCCTGCAGGCCTAGCCGTGCTGTTTGGTATGTTTGGCCCCTGTCATCCCTATGCCCCACCCCCGGGCACCCTCCGGGTTCCCTGGTCTAGGCGGTCTGGTCCTCTTCTGATTCCAGTTCTGTGTCTTTGACTTGTGATCCCGCATCCCTGTCTGTTTCTTTCAAGATAGGAGAGGTCTTCGGTTCCCAGTAGAGCTGAAGCGTTTTCTTTGGATCTAGGTGGGGAAAGAGGAGCGGGCTGTGACCCTGACCTGTTCTGAAGGGCCCAGCCTTGGGCTGAATGGCAGCACCCCCACTGGGCCGTCTGGTGTTGACCCACCTGCTGGTGGCCCTCTTTGGCATGGGCTCCTGGGCTGCCATCAACGGGATCTGGGTGGAGCTGCCTGTGGTGGTAAAAGAACTTCCCGAGGGTGAGTGGGAGTGCGCAGGGAAGAGGGGTTCACGTGTGCCAGGTAAGGCGGGTTGCAGCTGCTCATCGTCCCTTTGCACCTAGCCCTGACATGGTCTTCTCCCTTCCCTGCAGGCTGGAGTCTCCCGTCGTACCTCTCCGTGCTTGTGGCGGTGGGGAACCTGGGTCTGTTGGTGGTGGCCCTGTGGAGGCGGCTGGCTCCGGGCAAGAGCGAGCGGGGCCCCATCCAGGTGGTGCAGGCACTGGGCGTGGTGGGCACAGCCCTGCTGGCCCCACTGTGGCACCATGTGTCCCCAGTCGCAGGGCAGCTCCACTCCGTGGCCTTCCTAACGCTGGCCTTGGTGCTGGCCCTGGCCTGCTGTGCCTCTAACGTCACTTTCCTGCCCTTCTTGAGCCACCTACCACCTCCCTTCTTGCGCTCCTTCTTCCTGGGTCAGGGCCTCAGTGCCCTGCTGCCCTGTGTGCTGGCCCTCGTGCAGGGCGTAGGCCACCTTGAATGTTTGCCATCTCCCACCAATGGCACCCTTTGGCTCCCCCACGACTTCCCAGAGCGTTTTCCTGCCAGCACCTTTTTCTGGGTGCTGACCGCCCTTCTGGTCACTTCGGCTGCCGCCTTCCAGGGTCTCCTGCTGTTACTGCCATCACCACCGTCTGCATCCACAGCGGGTCCGGGGTCTGGCCTGCGGGCAAGAGGCCCGGGAGTGGAGGAGGAGGAAGAAGAGGCCTCACCACTGCAGGAGTCACTGAGCCGAGCCACAGGCGCCACTCCCAGCCCAGAGCCCGAGGCCCGTCGGCTGCTCTCTGTGCATGGTGCCTGCCTGCTGGGCCTGCTGGCCATCACCAACGCGCTGACCAATGGTGTGCTGCCTGCCGTGCAGAGCTTTTCCTGCTTGCCCTACGGCCGCCTGGCCTACCACCTGGCAGTGGTGTTGGGCAGCGCTGCCAACCCCCTCGCCTGCTTTCTGGCCATGGGCGTGCTATGCAGGTACAAGAGGGTCCCCACGGCCCTCGGGGCAGGGTTTAGGGATGGGGGCGGGGTCCTGGTGCGGCCAGCCCTGAGTTCCTGCTCACCCCTGTAGGTCTCTGGCGGGGCTAGGTGGTCTCTCTGTGCTGGGCATGCTCTTTGGGGCCTACCTGATGGCGCTAGCAGTCCTGAGCCCTTGCCCACCGCTGGTGGGCACCTCGGCAGGGGTGGTCCTTGTGGTAAGTACACCGGGGACACTGGAGCAGAGAGGGTTGCAGTGGGGAAGGGGTTTGCCCCCAGAGCAGGGGACAGCCCGTGCTCAGCCTGCTGTGCCCGTCCTCCCAGGTGCTGGCGTGGGTGCTGTGTCTGGGCGTGCTCTCCTATGTGAAGGTGGCCGCCAGTTCCCTGCTGCACGGTGGCGGCCGTTCAGCACTGCTGGCAGCTGGTGTGGCCATCCAGGTGGGCTCGCTGCTCGGTGCTGTCGCCATGTTCCCTCCCACCAGCATCTACCACGTGTTCCGCAGTGGAAAGGACTGTGTGGACCAGTGTGGCCCCTAAGCCTGGGCACATGGGGAATGTGACGTCAGGCTGAGACGCCCCAGCGCCCAAGTGCCCACGACCCAAGGAGGCCCTCCTCACTTGTGGGCTCATGGACACTTGTACACTCCACAGCAGATGCCGGTCAGGGTGGGGACCACAGAACAGTCCCAGAACCAGGGCCCAGCTAGGGCTGTGAACTTGGCCCAGATCTGGAGCCTGTGTGGGGCTTGCACAATAAATCACTGTTACTCCATGGGTCCCGGTAGTTAACTTCTGTAGCTCCTTTCTCTGTGCAGATAGACCCCTACTGAGCTGGAGTGCTGATTTGAACTATTCGGCAGGGGCGCCCCACCCCTGGCCGGCTGCTCTCGCAGCCCTCCGAGCCCTGGACCCTTGCTCCCCCTCCCCCCATCGCTTTTTGGAGCTTCCCCCGGAGAACAGGTTACGGTGGTCAGAGGCAGCATGGTGTCCACCCAACATCAGCTCATCCCGGATCTCCAGCTGAGTGGTGAGGCCTCTTCCCATCAGGGTCACTGCTCTGTAAGCATCTCTGGGCTGTGTGGGCTGAGCCAGCTGGGCGCGAGCATCAAACAGAACCAGCTCTCTCTTTTGCTGTGACCCAGCAGCGGTAGCGTCTGTTCCTCTGTGGGAGGGTCCTGCCAGGGGGCTTATGCCCGGGCCTCCGTGCAAGGTCCAGGCACAGAAGGGGCTCAGTGAGTAGGGCTTAGAAGAGATTCCAGCCAGTTTAGGGATCCTTCTGGTCAGGAGCATTGCTGCCTTCCCTAAGCCACAGGCGTCTAGTTTCTAGCTCCTTCTGTGACCAAATGTGCAGATGGCCCACACTCTTTATTCAGGCAGACGTGGCAGCGTCTGCCTTCTCCCTGGGCTTCTGACAAGTGGCCCCTGTTCCTGAGCAACCCATACCTGCCCCAGCCCTGGGATAGCAGTGTGGGCCTTTGCTTGGCTAGCGTCTGCAGGGAGCAGAGCCTTAGCACTGACTGCAGCCTGAGCTGGAGTGGGTGGTTCTGCACAAAGGGCTGGAGGAGGCTGAAAGGAGTGCCTCAGCCAGGCAAGGGGACCGGCAAGGACTCAGGAGAGGATATTGGATGGAAGCTGCAGTGGGCAGAGGCTCAGGCTTCTGTCACCTCCTCTTGGCTTCTGGGGCAGGCCAGAAGCAGAGGCCCATGGGGGACACAGGCTCCGCAGGGGAGGCAGGACACCCGAGCTGTGATCTAGTGTGACTGGCCTGGCACTGAAATCCTATTCTCACAGACAAGGGGCCCCATTTCTGCAGTGGGGAGCCTGCTGCTGCAAGGGTCTCACCCAAGTGATTGTGGGGGCTGGGAAAAGTGGCTCCTGCCCTGCCTGCCCCAACCCCTTCCCACAATTGTTCTGGTCCCGGATGCCCTTTTTAAACTTCAGAAGCTGCCTGTCCTTGAGTTGGCCTGCACATGGGCCTTTGAAGGTCTTCTCTTTCCCCTGCCCTGGCAGGAGCAGCTGAGCAGGAAGGTGGGAGAGACCCCCCCACCCCGGCCCTGACCACTGGAGCCTCCGGTCTGGGGCTGCATCAAGTACTGGGAGGGCCCAGGCTCCCAGGTGGCTCAGACACAGCCCCGCCCTGAGCACAGGAGGCCACCTGCCAGGTCCCAGCCTCCCAGGATGCTGATGGCCTGGAGAAGGAGCAGGGGCAGTGGGGGGTTCACGTGGCTGTTTGCCTTTGGGAGTCGGGGCCAGTAGGTGGGGTGTGGGCTGCAGAAGCCACCTTGGCAGTGGTGAGTGGAGAGATTCAGAGGCAGGAGGACGAGAGCATGGCACGCCCTCTGCCCTCCCCCTCCAACAGCACCCTCCCCTGCCCACCCTGGGGCTGGAGCTCAGGGAGCTGCCCCCTAGTTCTTGTTCTCTCTTCCGTCAGGCGACAATCAAAGGCATTTACGAGAGCCTCATCTCTGCCCACATACGCATTTGTGCCAGGCCCAAGGGCCACAGAGGAGTAAGGCCCTGGAGAGAGGGGGCAGGTGGCCCTGAACCTGGGGGTCAGGGCTGGAGGTGGACAATTTGAGGAAGCCACTGCCCTTAGGAGCCTCAAGGGCCTTCCTGTCAGTGCCTTGTAGGAAATAACAAGGGGAGGGAGATGCTGAAGGGCCGAGTTCTTGAGAGCTGCCCCGACACACCCTTCCTACTCATGACTGCCCAGCACTGAGTCTGGTTGCTAGGGCACCCACACTTCCAGCTGGACAGCAGGTGGCCCACGACTCCAGCTCATAGCCCTGCCCAGAGGGTCTCTCACACCCAGGGCCGGGGGCAATTTGAAGGAGACCCCAGAGGGGAGGCAGTGGCCAAGGCAGGACCTTTGGCACCTGGCTGTCCACGGAGAGGACCCCCTGGGTAAGAGCAAGGCCTGAGCTACAGACCCACTGTTGCCCTGTCCCACCACCAGGA